TGGCATATACACCCCTCTGGGACAGGGACTGAGGTCTCTTTGTATCAATCACAATTCCCAGTCTATAGCACCTTGACCCCTTGCCTTTCCACTGTATCCACCCCACAACCTCACCCTAGCCCCCAGCCCCATCCAGCCCTGCCTCACTCCGACCATCTTCCTCCTTCCCACACTGGGCTGTTGAGAGATGCAGAAGAAAATTCAACAACAAAGAGCAACCACAGATTCAGAGCCTCCAATCTCAGCTGGGCCCTCAGTGTCCTGAGAATCCTTGTTTCTGATCCACAGCTTCTCCCATTTCCCAAAGAGGTGATTCCACACCTTCACCATCTCTTCAAGGTCCTCTTCCACCATCACAGACTCTATCAGCCTACACCCTCCTTCTTCAAGAAAAGGGAGACACCAGTTAGGAATTCCATCAGCCCCGCTAACAATTCCACAGTGCTGAAGACACCAGTGAGGGATTCCCCAATGTCAACCTACCTTACCTACTCCCATGAGCAACACATTCACCTCTGCTTTGTGCTAGGATGCTCTCCTCCCTTCCTTGCCCAGTTCTTCCCCGTGTGCTCTGGACATCACTGCTTCATCCAGGAGGCCAGCCAGGACCTGCACAGTCCCTGAGGACATCTCTGATCTTTTCTCAACTGCTCCTTTTCTCCTGGCTTTCTGCTCTTAGTTCATTTTCCTCCGGTTTAAAAAACTGTATTGGAAAACGACCCAGTTTTTCCCTCCTGTGTCTTTCTGTCCTGTGTGTCTCCTTTACTCGTCACACAGAACACTTCATTTCTGACACCTCTGGTCACCAAATGTGGGGATTTTTCTCACATCAAGCAATTCTCTGCAACACCCGCTGGGTGTCCTACAATTCAACTCAATTCTGACACTGCCTACCCAGAGATAGCATCAGATCCCACAGGTTAAGGGTTCAGTCCCACAAGACTGCTCCCTCCTCCACTTTAGATGCCAGTCGCAAGCCCAGGTTATCACCTGTGTTTCTGACCGACTGGCTGTAGATCAGCAGTTCCAATGACCCCCTCTTCAGGTTTGATTAATTTGCTAGAACAGCTCACAGAACTTAGGGAAACACTTACTGATGTTTATCAGTTTATTAAAGGATATGATAAAGGATACAGAAGAACAGCTAGATGAAGAGATACACAAGGCATGGTTTGAGAGGTTCCTGAGTGCAGGAGCTTCCGACCCTGTGGAGATGGGGTGCATCCCAGTATGGATGTGTTCATCCACCTGGAAGCTCCCCAAAACCTGTGCTATTGGGATTTTTATGGCACGTCCTCACATAGGCATGATGAATTTCCAACCTGTCTCCCTTCTCTGGAGGGTGGGGCATGGTGCTGAAAATTCCAAGCTTTAATCATCGCTTGGGCTTTCTGGTGACCAGTGCCCCCATCCAGGAGCCATCCAAGAGCCCACCCAGAGTCACCTCGTTAGAACAAAAGATGCTCCTCGTGCTCTTAACGCTTAGGAATTTACAAGGTTTTTAGGAGCCTTGTGTCAGGGATAGAGTCAAAGATCAAATAATTGAACAAGATATACTCTTATCACTTAGGAAATTACAAGTGTTTTAGGAGCTCTGTGCCAGGAATCAGGGGCAGAGACAAATATATGTATTTTCTACTATCTCACAAAAACGAAAACAACAAACCAAAATAACACTTGGTGTTCTTCTTCTTGTAGCTTCTTTCTAGCTCCTTTTTATTTGGAGACAAACCTTCCTTAACTGTATAAACTAATACAATATTACCTAAAAATAAAAGAAAATATAATGGTATAGTTTTTAAAATGACCACAAAGGCAGTATAGCCTCAGGACTGTAGATCACACACTTGATTGCTTAACTATTTAACAGTCTAGTCAATAACTTAATCATCTTCCTGCATAACTCATATTCAACTGTGTGATAGCAAAGGAGAACGAGAAAAAGAGTTCTATGTTTTGATCTCGGTGGTTATATAGGAATTTACTTTATAATCATTCATTGTACTATACTACCTTTATATTTTAGGCATCTTTTAATATTTGTGCTACCTCTCACAATTTTATAAAAGGTAAAAATAAAATAAATCTACCAAAAATCCCTAAAAATTGAATTTCTGTTCTAGCACCTCACTCTCCAAACCTGCTGGAGAGAGCTGTATTACCATCCTTACCCGACTCATAAGCTGGAAGTGTGGGTGTCCTTACCCATGCTGCCACTCTGCCTGTAATGCCCTCCTTCATCTTCCTTTCTCCATCCACCAGGCAGGCCAATTAATCGAATCCAAGGAGGGGTTGGAAGTGAACCCTATCTCTTGATGATAGAAGGAGCTGCAAAGTCACATTGCAAGGGGCATGGCCATTTTTGCATTCTGTCACACCAGTTCTCTGCTGAAATCCTCCAACTGAAATTTTATCTCCTTAAATGTATTAAACATAATTACTTTAAAGTTTATGACTAATAACTTGGTTATCTAGATGCCCCTTGGGTCTATTTCTATTGCCTGTTTTTTCTTTTGGTTTTCAGATGTGTTTCCTCTTCTTGCACGTGTTTATTTTTTATTTCATTTTGGACACTATGTATGAAAAATTTTAGAAATAATTTAATTCTCTGGTTGATGTTATTTTCCTTCAGGAATAATTTATATTTGCCTTTAGTAGGCAGGTAGATTAGAAATACGAGAAATTCTAGATCACTTTAATCCAATTCACGGTTAAGTTTTACTAGGCTTCAGTTCCTGTGCGAACTGGTCTATTTCTTCTTCACACTTATTCTTAGTGTGTAGTGCCTTATGGTACCAACCCCAAATCTGATGGATTATACCCATTTCCTAAGAGGAGCTTGCTGAACTCCATGATCTCTTAGTTCCTTGAGTTTGTTGTAAGCTTTGCTTGGCTTCTTAGTTTTTCAGCTGCTTTTTATGGCATTAGAAAAGCCTCCAGGGAATAGCAGTCAAAAATGCTGGTCTCACCTCTCTAAGTTTCCGTCTTCCAGAATGTTGGCCCAATAATATTTCACTGTTTTATTAGCTCTCTGATGCGTTTAATAACGTGGTTTTATATTTTGCCCTTTTTTTTTCTAGTTATTCTCAGTGGGAGAGTTGGTTGGCATGTCTTAATCTGGTCTTCCAATATCAGAATTAGAATTTCTTAGATGATTCTTTATCTCAACCATTAAGTGTATGCTGCAGAATAAAAATATATTCTGTTCCCGGATCACAAATTCTCTGGAGTCAGGAACCATGTCTTATACACAAAGAGGCCCTGACTCTTCAGGGCCCCAGTTATAGTGGGGACTCAGTAAATACTGAATAATTGATGATGATAGTGTATGTCCTTTTTGCAGGTTTAGTAATTATTTTTCTATTCATATTTGTTCTCAGGATCTTTGGGCAATGCTAGTTGAGTTGGCCTGTTCTCAAATATGGTGTTAGGACTATGGGAGACAAAGACACAGAGATGCACGGCACAGTCTCTGCTTTTGGTTTGGTAATAGACAGAGCCAGTTCAAGTCATAGGAATATGAATAGGAGCATCATATGTTTACTCTTAGGAGTAGATCAAGATCAAAGAAACATATTCTATCAACCTAGTAGTAACTACAAGTCCTTCAATAGTTTACACAGTCTCGAGGAAATGCCAGGGTGAAGATGTGGTTGGGAGTGAGTGCATTTATAATGCATATGGACATCTAAAAATCCCTCTCTCTCCATTGTTCTCTTCTCGATGCCCTCCATTTTAACAGATACATTTGTATAACTATCCCTGTCTTCTAGTCTCTCTTCCAAATTCTCCCTGACCCTCTCCAACCCACCCAGACAGACTTTTTTATATCCTGCATCTACTGGGCCATGCCACATAGCTACCCTGCCAAAAATGACCACAGGAACTTCCACATTTCTTTATTGACTACACTGGGCTGCTCTAGGGTGGGCAATGACAAGTAGCTCTATGCCACACTCCATGTTCATTAGCTCCCATCGTGATCCCTAGAGAAGGAAGTGCTGAGATATGCCTAGGCAGTATAGTTTTATTTTTCTCTTTTTAATTGTTTTCTGGGGAGCAATCCTTGTGGAGACTTTCTAGTGACTAAAAAATTGGGAAACACTAATGAGTAATGAACATAGTAGGATGTGCCAAGTGCTATAAGAGAGGATTATGAATCTAGCTCTATCGGAGGACAGAGGAAGGAGCCATGAATTCAGCTTGGAGGGTTAGTGGTACTGGGTCTGGCCATTTGGAATTTCCAGCAGTCACTGCTGGCCACTAGTGGTTGCCCCAGCACTGTAGGGAGGGAGTCACATCAGATATGGTGTTTATAACATTGTGGTTAAGAATTCATCCTGTGAAGCCAAATTGACTGGATTTCCAGCTCATCTTTCTCACTGTGTAACTTAGGCTAGTTACTTGTAAGTTCTTTCTAGCTCAGTTTCCTCTCCTGTAAAATGGGAATAAGACTCGTGTAGGGGGGGCCAGCCTGGTGGCATAGTGGTTAAGTTTGCATGCTCTGTTTTGGCGGCCTGGGGTTCCCATCCCGGGTGCAGACATATGCATTGCTTATCAAGCCATGCTGTGGCAGGCGTCCCACATATGAAGTAGAGGAAGATGGGCATGGATGTTAGCCCAGGACCAATCTTCCTCAGCAAAAAGAGAAGGATTGACAACAGTTGTTAGCTCAGGGCTAATCTTCCTCACCAGAAATAAAAAAAAAGACTCTTGTAGGGTCATTGTGAAGTCAAATAGATAAAACATGTAAAGTGTTTAAAACTTGCCTGTCCCATAGTAAGTACTCAAATGATTTTAGCTATTATTACTGGTCTGTGGGCTCCTTCAGAGTAGAGGCCCAGAGCTTGGGGAGAAGGGGAGGGAGATAGAGGGAAGTCCACTTTCAGGGTCTTTTAGGCTCTGGGCTCCTCATATTCACCCCTATCTTCTTGGTTTAAGGGAAGTCATATCCAACTGCCCACAGTGCTCAGGACTGACACCCTTCTTGCCACCTCCAGCCTGAGTTCTCTTTCCTAGAATCCCTAAATTCTGCTGACGCTGTGGTTGGACTCTCAGGAGAGCCTCTCTGGTTACGGCCCCCCAGAACACAGACAAACGCAAGCTCTGCTCGCTGGAAGGTGCAGCTGCTCTCAAAGACAGATTTTAATGTGATACTGTCTTGGAATAATCGTTCAAACAGTTTAGATTGGACTTCAAATAATTCCACGAAGAGATTCAATTTTACGACTGAGGACTTGACTCTGATCATCAAGGCAGCTCAGCAGCAGGACAGCGGTCTCTACGTCCTGGAGATCACCGTTAGTTCTGGGAAAGTTTGGACAAGCCAGTTTCAAGTCTCTGTATTTGGTGAGTCCTCAGGACAGCTCACTCTGCCCCTCTGACTCCAGCAGGGCTTGTATTTCCAATGCCTTTCTGATCAGAATCTCTGCTTCCAGATCATGTTGAGAAGCCCTATCTGCAGGGGAACTTGACGGCCCTGGAGAGAGGGATGTGCCAAGCAGTTCTGAACTGCTCAGTCTCCAGTGGTGGCAATGTGAGCTACGCTTGGTACAGAGGGAGTGAGCTGATCCCCACATCAAGGAATGTCACCTACCTGGAGGAGGAGACTGATGTCAATGGCTCACATGTATATACGTGCAATGTCAGCAATCCTATCAGCTGGGCACATGACACCCTCAACTTCACCCGGGGCTGTTCGAGTGCCCATCAGAGTAAGTGGAGCACTTGGGGCTATAACAGGGGCTAAAGGTGCTGGACCCCACAACCAGGTTCATGTACAAGAGAGACTTGCGTATGAGATCCAGTGGTTCCTCCCCCAGTGCTTTGCAGCCCTTCCCCAGGGGGTCCTGGCTTCTAGCACACAGTTCCTGTAAAGCCAGGCTTGTCTGAGTCTGGGAAGAATATTATCCCCATCAACAATCTCCTAGGAGATGCGAGTTTTTCCTTCACATAGAGAATGCTGAGTTTGGTGAGTCACAGCCCTGTCATGGCTGCTGATCGTTATTTTCTTTCTCTGAGAGATGGTTGGAGACTTGTCTCCTCCTCCCGAGTGATAACACCCCCAAGCCACATAGTTGTCCAAGAAGTGACTATGCTGTACAGCAGTACCCTGGGTCATGCATCAGGATGATCACAGGGGTGCCTAGAAGAGTTCTTAGTTTATTGCTTATGCCTATCCTGAGAGTTACCCTGAGTTAAGTCTGCACCACTTTTTATTATACAAACAAAGACTCAGTGTGCCATCAGCATGGGCGATACACGGGAAAAACAATCTGTAGTTCTTGTCCTTAAGGAACTTACAGCCAAATAGGGGCACAAAACTAAGTACTCATGGGCAAAAAAGAAGCGAACAAGCTGCAGCAGTGTGTAGTGACAAGGACACTGGTTTTTGGGTCATGTCAGCTATGGCTTCATCATTCACTAGCCCTGTGATCTCAGGAAGATTCATTAACCTCTCTGAGCCTTAATTTTTCTCTTGCGTAAATGGGGATGATAACAATAAGTACTTCACTGGATTGCTGTTAAGATTAAACGAGATAATGTTTGTAAAAAGTCTAGTCACCTGGCACCTGGAACACTTCATTCCTTTCCCTTCTCCCCTCGTTGGTTGGATTATATATCAGGCTACATATGTGACACAAACGTTAAATGTAGAAGTTCAAATGAGGAAGAGCAGCAAAGGCAGGGTAGCAAGAAGGTGAAATGGAAGACTTGCCTGGCACATAGTAGGCATGCAATAAATGTTTGTTGAGTTAAAAGCAAAAGAATGGATAGATGTGACATTTGCTATGCCAGATCTTTACATATATTAGATCATGTAATTTACCCCCATATGTAGATAACATTATTTCCTTTTTATAAGTGAGAAAAACGGGCTCAGAGAGGCTAAGGAAGTTGCACAAGGGTGCATAGCTCATAGAAGTAGAGTCTGAGCCAGGCCTGTCAGATATTAATACCCATGCTCTTAGCATCAGTCTGGGGAGGTCACCCAATTGAGCAGAGGGACAATCTTGATGGTGAATTCACAGGTAAATTCAGGTGAGGAGACCAGCCACACCAGAGAGGAGTATGGGTTTTGAGACAGCCCATGAAGCAGACAGGTAGGGAGGGAGAAGAGAGAGGGCTGAGCGAGTGCTTAGGCCTCGTGCCTTCCGTATTCCTCAGAATTCGTCTTTCTGCCCTATTTGGTGATCACCATGATTCTGCTAATCACACTTTTCCTTGGCACCCTCACCTGCTTCTGTGTGCGGAAGAGGAAGAGGAAGCAGTCACGTAAGTGGAGGGTCCCAAGGAGGGGCTGTTGGCCAATTTGACATCCCCAGCAGCCTGTGCCTGGGAGCACAGCACCTGCTTTCCCTCAGGGACTGTTGGATACACACGTCCATGGTTGGGGGAGGGGAAGCAGTGGCTGCTGGGCCCTTTCTCCCAGTTCCTGCTTTCTGGGGTGCCAGCCCAATATTTATAGTCTGATCCCCAACATGCAGATTTACTGCAAGTAGCTGGTTTGGTGGGGGTCTGCCCAGCCTGACAGAGTAGAGATGTCAGTGGCGGTTGCTGCCCTTGTGCTCTTAGGGTATCCTGGGAAGAGCACTAACTTGCCTCCTCTCTAGAACCTTACTTGAGGTCTTGGCCATATGGGATGGAGGTGAGACTGCCAGAAGCAAAAGTCTGGACAAGATGCCCTCTGGAGGTCTCTGCAACTATGTTCTTTGCTTCCTTTCTCTCACAGATACCAGCTCAGGGGAATACTTGACAATTTATGAAGATGTCAACAACCTGCAAATCAGGAGAAATCAAGTACGGCACCCTAGGGGCTGGGCTTTGTCTTAACTGGTCTGGAAGACGCTCTTAGGAGGATGACCATTCGGAGCAGAGGGACAAAGAGAACCAGACAATTGTCCTCTCAAAGTGATCTTCAGCCCCCTCCATCTATCTTTTCTCCGTCAGCCTCCTAGCTCTGACCATGGAGGAAAAGAGGAAAACAAGGGAGCAGAGAAGATGAAAGGAGGCAGAAGAGGCATCTTGGTGTGGATTCACACCTGCTGAGAAGGGATGGAGCACAAAGAAATCCATAGCAGAGGGCAGAATGCTCCTTCTGCCTCCCCAGCTGGCACCCTGATGTCCTAATTTCTGCCCAGTCTCACCAGCTGGGTTAAGCCCCAGGAAGAGTCCAACCTTCTGTTATATTGTGTCTGAGCACAAATTCTCCTAACCCTGCAAGTCCAAGTTTACTTTTGTGGGTCCCTTGATCATTGCCCAGGCTGTGGAGGATGCCAGCCTGACCAGCCAAAGTATAACAGTTTTGTAGCTGGCTCAGAGAACTGCATTCACAACGTTTTGGGAAAAAAGGCCTGAGTCTGGCTGAGGTACTAGAGAGAGTAACCGGCTTAGCGTAGAGGTGATGGACAATCCAGAGCTGGCTCCACCGGGAACCTCTCTAGCCAGTCTCTGTGGGCAGTGGCCAGCTCTGCCTGTCAGCTAAGGGTGCAGAAGAGGAGGAAACTGCAGAGGGGCTGCAGGGGGCCCCCCACTGCTCTGCCCCTGCACAGGGCAGGATGTGGTGACAGGCCTAGGGGAAGGCAGTGGCTAACGGAACTGTCAGGTGGGAAGGGTGGGGGCATGGGGGGAAGGGCCCTCTTCCCACCCCCATTCCTGGCGCTTGGCCTGGGGACGTGAGGCAGGAAGTCACAGGGTGGTCTCTTCTGCCCTATCACATGTGTGAGGCCCTGTGAGGCCTCCTCCAACAGAGACGCAGCTTCCCTCAGGTCTGGGCTCAGTGGGATTAGGAGTCAGGACAGCTCCCCCAGCCCGTTTCCTTGCCCCAGCAGTGGAATATTGGGGTATGAAAAATGAAAGCAGACTTTGTTTCTCCCATCACTACCAGTCTCTGGTAGAAATTCCCAAGAGCAAGTGCATCTACCTACAGCCACTAATGCCCAAATGCTCACTACAAATAGCCTTTTCTCCCTACAAAATGAAGATTACTTTAGATTAGATAAAGGAAGGAGAATATAGGGATAAATAACTATTTAGAGTAAAAAAACAATACCTCTTGGGAATTCAGGCCTATTACTCTGCTTCTGACTCAGAGGTTCCTCCCTCCCATGGCCTCCTCCTTCCTTGGCCTCTCCCTACTGTCTCCAAGGTTCTGTTTGACGGCCTAAATCTCAAGCTTCACGTGGTCTCACTTTGAGGCCCAGCTCCGATCTTTCTGGAGACACTTCACTCAGGTCTAGGCAGAAGAGAGAAGCAACAAACTCCTGTTTCTTGCCAGATGTGCGTGACTTTCCAGCCTCCAAGGATGGCTGATATTTCTCTGCTCCTCTTAACGACTTCCCACTTCCGGGGAGCTCAGCCTCTGCCTTGTCGAGTGAACTCTGCTGGTCTCTCCTGGCTCCCCACCAGAGTCCAATCTGGTAATATGCACTCAGGGGCAAGCAGCATAAAACACCTCCAATCTCTTGTGGGGCAGGACAAAAGGAGGCAAGCAGGAAGAGTGGGTGACCCCTGCCTTTGGCCTTAGGTGCAGGGTTCCACCCAGCACTGCCGCTGCCCAGGGAGCAGGCTTGAGGACAAGGGCAATCTGGTCACCAAGGCTGGATCTAGAGAGGGGGCTTTAGTGTGCTCAGTCTTCAAAACGTTTAAAGCCTCTGAATTTCAGTGCCCTGAGTTAAGGCTCAGATCACAGCCCTACTCAGAGCTCAGCTCATTATCAGTGGTGGTGTGGTAAATTTAGTCAAAAAGTCAGCAAAAGCAAGTTCCTAAGTTACCAAAGTAAAGCAAGTGACAGGAGCCGCCTTGGGCAGGGTCACTGGTTGTAATCCCTTCTCACCTGGGTGGTTTCTCGCTCCTGACACTAATGCTGCACTGTGAGCTGCTCTTTCTACTGTCTCTCCCCATCCCCGGGTGACCAATGACCTCTTCCCTCCCCTGCTTCCAAGAGCCCCTTTTCTTTCTTTCTTTTTTTTTTTTTTTGGTTTTAATATAATTTATTTACTTATTTATTATTATTTTTTTATTGTGAAATTTTTGTTGTACATTATTGTTTGTCAGTCACCATGTAAATGCATCCCTCCACCCCTTGAGCCCCTTTTCTTTCTGCTCTTCTCACTCCATCCGAATCTGCACAGACACAGCTGCCCACTCACATTACCACATGTCCTTTACTGTTTCCTGTGCAGGAACAGTGGCAGAATCCCCCTGGAAAAGGAAGCACCATCTACTCCATGATCCAGTCCCGGGTACGACTCTTGTTTCTCTAATCCATTCCATACCTGTCTACGGGGCTTCCTCATGCCCCCAGGACACTCATATCCTTGAACAGCAGAATAAACCTTGGTCCTCTGGAATCTAGAAGATAGCCACTTGGTTTCAGCTGCATTAAGTTGTTTGAAAAGATAGTGTGGATCTGGAGTGTCTTGACAGAGCTGAACAGAGCTGGAAAGTCTGATGCAGGCTTTCTTTTTTCTCCCATGCCTGGCAGCAGGAGTGGCCCAGAAAAAGTCAGTAGGAGAAGGAAATCTTTCAGGGAACCCAACTTGTGTTTTCCCTCTCTGCTGCTTCCAATACTTGGGGCCCTTGTACTTTTTATGGTCTATGCTCTCTTTATTGTACTTGTTCTCAGGAAATAATGGATCTATGTTGTTCTCTTTTATTTTATTCTGGCAATGATAACATTCATTAAATACTTACTATGTCCATTTTCTCAACGAATTTCACGTAACCTCATGACCACGCATACTAGATCTCATGAAGTCAGTCTAATACAAACCTCATTTCACAGATGAAGAGACAGACTCAGAGGTTAACTAATGTGCTCAAGGCCATGTAGCTGGGTAGTGGCAAAGCTGAGCCACATGGTTTCTGAATCTCCACTCCACCTCCCCCCAACACATCTCTAACATTCTGGGATTATAGAAATTTACCCAGGAAGTGGAGAAATTTCCTCTAATACTGACAGCTAAGACGACATTATTGATAACCCAGGCTGGGGCACCTCTCTCAAGGGAAATGCTGCCTCCTGGTGGCCAGTGGTGAAAAATTTCTGATAAAAATGACTTCAGAGAATTAAGACCTGAAGCAGCAACCTCTTCAGTTTGGTGGCTAAGATACAGAGCAAAGAAAATCCTTGGGGAATGTTGATAGGCTTCAGAGAAAGATCAGGAAAAGGAGGAAGGGGAGAAAGGAAGGGGAAGAGGGGGAGAGAAGGCAGTGAAGGGGAGAGGAAGAGAGGAGAGAAGTGGAGGAGAAGAGAAGAAAGGAGGGAGGAGGCCTCCACCACTCAGCCACTCTGGCATTCTCAAGGTCGGTGTTGTCTCCTCTTGATTTCCTTAAGACAATGTGATTCACTGAGAGTGGATCGAGACAAAGAGCCTTAAAGAGATATGTAAGAGCGATTGATATCTGCCCGTTGTCTGACATGAGCCACATTGAATTCCAACAAGAGGAATTTGAATTAATGGCATGAAGAGCTCTTCTCAGACTGAGATGTTGACTGAGAATGAGATTCCTCCTCTGGAGCATCTTAGGAGGAGGATGGTTACCTGCTTTTGAGGACACCTGGTTCAGGCCCAGAGAAGGAAGGCATGTTGCCAAAGGGAGGCATTGAGATGTTAAGAAAAGAACCCTGGAGAGTTCTTTTCTTAACACAAATCCTTAACTTAAACTAACTTTTCTTAAGTCCTGCTTCTACTGCAAATACCCTGACTTGGGCTGTTTACCCTTTTAGAGCCTCATCTGTAGAATGCGGCAAATTATGATAATTTCTATCTTATAGGAGTGTTATGAGTGTTAGGGGAGAACACATGTGCAGAATGAGTGCTCAGCAGACAGTAGCTGTCTTTAATGACAGAGTGGGACTAGCATTCAGATTGACCTCCCAACTAGTCCAAGGTTCTTTTCACTAACACTTAAAGCTTCTGTCTGAGTGGGGTTGAGGGGGAGGGATGGAAGAAATGACCTCTCTCTCTAGGGTTGTGCTGCATCTATGCTTCTGAAATGACTTTATTTCTCTTCTCTGTAGTCTTCTGCTTCCACATCACAAGAAACTGCAAATACATTATATGCATTAATACAGCCTTCCCAGAAGGTGAGTCTCCTCCTCCAGGGGTGCCATTGATACAGATGTGTATTTTGCATGTGCATATGCAGGCACGTGTTGGTAGAGAGTGTGTGTGCACTTCCAAGGGAGTTGTATTCCACTGTATGTATCTGTGTAGCTTGTGTTAAATGACCTTGTTTAAATATTAATGGGCCAACTAGAAATGTCTTTCTGGGTCTGTCTGGAGAAAGAGAACAGCTCTGAGACTAAGAGAACAGTGGATTAAAGGAGTTTCTATGGGAGGCAGAGGACAATCAGAAAGGAGGTGCTTTGTGCAGAGGCACCATGGAGTCCTTAGTAGGCCAGCTGAGGCTATGGCAAGAGATCCTGGAGGGGTTTTTCAAGGCAGGTGTATATAGCCTGGAGCTGGAGGAGTAGACTGGACCAAGAGAGACACAGTGTTGACTTTCAGGAAACCAGACAAAGGTTTGGCCAGTCACCTGCTGGTGGAGGCCCCGGACTAAAGTAATCCATCATGGTCCCCTAGAATCCTCCTCCAAGCTGAGCTTACAGCTCTTATGTGTACCTAGAACCACAGAGTTGGGTATCCTGGTGCCCTCGTCATCTTTTCACCTTTGGTGGGAGGGGGTGGGAAGAATGGTATTCCTGAGGCTGGAGTCATGGTATGAAGTCATAACCTTAACTTGGTAGTTTGGGAAGTTGGGAATCTGCCAAACTATGGAATTGCTGAATACATGCCCATCAGCAATCATGTGTTCATATCAAATCCGGGAGAGTTTAGGACAGATTTTCAGAATTTTCACTCATGCTTCTTCCAATAAGTCATTCAATCAACTTGGATTTCACGAGAGATATTCATATTTAAATTATATACTACGATACCTGAACATATAGAGAGTCACAGGCACCATGGTCACATGTTTTGGTATTATGTTATGAAGACTCTGCATACCACTGAAAGTGCTTCTGAATTCTAGTGTTTCCATCATTTCACCATGTTCAGGGTATGTGCTAGGGTCGGTACTTATCTGTGTGCCAGAATTTTGTACACCAGGGGTGTGTGTGTATGCTATGTGTTGAAGAGATACATGGTTTGAGGCAGTATCTGTATTAGATTTGTCTGAAGGATACTTGTGTATGTGTATGTGCATGTGTGCTGGGAATGTGTGTATGTGTGGTTTTGAGGGGCATATGGGTGTGGGATACTAAACTCTGACTTTAGTTCAGAAATGTCACATCATATGCAAGTAGTATTGTGCCTTCTCTGGAAAGCATAAACCCACCATGGTTTCCTCCTGGGGTAGGAGATTCTATTCATTTCTGGCTGGGGATACTACAGGGACTTTCTGGGCCCAGAGTCTCTTTTGGGACTTCTCACATCATTTACGAGTGGGACACGTCTTAACTTGAAGTTAAGCACTCTTTACCCTCTGAATTTCCAGTCTGGATCCAAGAAGAGGAACCACAGCCCTCCCTTCAGTAGCACTATCTACGAAGAGGTAAGATTCTGGAACTCCCTCTGAATGGGTTTAGTGCCCAAGGCATAGCCCTGAAGTCATACCCTTGTGAAAAAGTCATCCACAGAGTCCCAGAGCTGTAGGGATTTTAGGGATCCTCTGATCCAGGTCTTCATTGTAGAGAAGAAGAAACTGAGGTCCAGGAAGAGTGAGAGTCTAACCCAAGGTCATATTAAGTTTGACTCTTACTAGAGAGCTTGAGTTTTAAATTAGTGCTGTCCCCAGGCTAGTCCCTCAGCTGTGGGCCACACATTGGACATGTCTCCTTCTGGGGGGTGGGGAGGGGGTTTGAGGGGGGGATAAGTGAATCTAAATGATTTCCTAAAGTTAGCAAGTAATTGGGAATCATTCCAGGACATAAGTGATCTTAAGCTGCTGCTGGGATGGACATTGTATAAAGACGACGACTGAGCCTGGTGGCTGAATTGATTCCCATTAGGCCATTTAGGGGATGGAAAGTAGGGACTCAACATTTATTGCGGGTTTATTATATATACGGTGGCCTGCCAGTGGTTTCACATGAATTATCTCATTTAATCCTTACAGAATGCTATGAAGTAGGTATAATTATACTTTCCATTTATACCCAGAGAAATTAAATCATGGAGAGTACCCCCACCCATTAGTCTCATACTACACTTTGAGCATCCACCTGTGATCCAATAAAGATGTTGCCATTGGTCACAAGGGAGAGAGTGGATGGGTGTCTGCTGGGATTCCTGGCGCTTCAGCTGTAGCCCCACATTAAACCCAACTGGACAGTTCAGGACAGTCCAGTATAGACCCTTGTGTAGTTCAGGGTTGTAGAGGACACTGTGCCAAGGCAATCTAGGGGGTTCATAAAGAAGCATGATGTGGTTAAAAAAACACTAGAATTGGAGCCAGAAGAACTAGATTCAAGCCCTTCCTTTACTTCATTCTAGCTCTTGACTCTGAGTTATTTGTTTCACCTCTTTGAGCTTCACTTTCTCAATCTGTAAAATGGGGATGATAATTCATACCCCACTGGGTTGTAATGACAATGTCCTAGTGGGAGGATCTGAAGTTCTGCTTTTCTTCCACAGGTTGGAAAGAGACAACTCAAAGCCCAGAACCCTGCTCGATTGAGCCGCAAGGAGCTGGAGAATTTTGTATATATTCCTAGTTGACACAGCTGCTCTCATCTCTCTTACATCCCAGCATCTGCTTTGGGAATCAGCACAATGGATGATACCACATGAGTGTCTGCAGAACAGTTTCTAGTTTGGAGAGGAGATGAGAGTTTGTTCATGGTCTATATATATATATATTTTAAATGATTTCTAACAGCCATTATAAGGGCAAGGCTGTTAAATAATCTCTCTCAATTTACAGACTGGACAAGAATGGATGGTGAGGTTAGGTAGTTCACAAAAGACCACACAGCAAGTCCAAGTACAGGTAGTCTTTCAAGTGCTATGTAAACGTAGGGTGTAGTCTTTCAAGTGCTATGTAAACGTAGGGTGGTGTTATTATTAAAATCAAGATTCTCTTCTGGTTTTCTAATCTGTTACTCATTTCCGCTCCTCCCTAATCTGGGATGAGGGCATTTCTAGACGTTCCCCTTGCCATGGCCCATCTTCCAAAGAGGAAGGAAAGATAACAGTGACTCAGAGAAAGAGGAACAGCCCCCCTCTGTGAGGGTGGACTAACTAGCCGTTAGGCCACTGGCAGGTTCTCCCAGGGGGCTGGGCCTGGGCTTTACTCAAATACAGAGGAAAAACTCCCCCACCACATATTAAACTTCTCCCTCTGGCCAATTGGTCACAAGGGGGAGTGGGCAGGAGTGAGAGGAGGTGGTGCAGAGGAAGCCTGTCTCTGAGTGGAAAAATCACCCCGAGCCCACACTGTCCTGATAGTTGGGCAGTGAGACCTGCTTTGTCTACAGTATGATGTTTGATTTACGAAAGCACATTGTTAGAAATCTATTTTGTTTTCTTCATAAAATCTTCACAATTAGAAACCATATCTTATTAAGTTCTGAGTCCTGATGAGGGCTCCCTATGGCACACGCTGGAGGGAGGGCTCAGACAGCTGAGCAATTGGGAACTAGATGCTACGCTGGGCTCCGCTGAGTCTTGAGGCCAGACCTTTCCACAAGGCTGTGGGGAGCAGGCTGAGACACTGGCTGAGCCCAGGAAAGGGATGAAGGTGAACTGGAAGAGGCCCTACTCAGAGACCCCAACAGGTGATATTGCATGGAGCCTGGTTCTTCAACTGCCCCACTCTGTATTTAACATATGAATTTAATATAAAACTGTGGTGTTAGTCAGAGGCAGTCTAAATTTCTTTCCTGAATTACATTTATGTGTCTCCTCCATAATCTGTGCTTTTCCTCTTTATAGCAGCCAAAGTACACTGTGGGCCATCAATAAATGTATGTCTGTCTAATTCCTGCTGGAGAAGAGTCTGGCCTTCTGGTGAGCAGTCAGTGTCTCTCAGCCTTGTTCACACTGGAACAGCAGATTCTGGGACCCCCGATCCCAGGGGGACATTCAGTCTCGTGGGAGATAGCCACAACATGCACTTGCTCATGCTCTATCTGATCCCTCTCCCCTGCATGGCTGGCCGGGCTGGCTTCCTCCTGGAGACAATTGTGGAGACAGGCCATATCCTGGACAAAGTGTCAAGTGTAAAAACCAGGAAAATATATGCAAAAGGAGTCTAGGGGGTCTGAGGTATGTTTTGGGAGCTGAGTTGCAGAGTCAAGTAGTGTGGTAAGCAGAAAGAGCAGGAAATGATGGGGGCTGGAGCAGTCCAGATGAACACCAGAGACACTGACCACTGACCGCTGCTGGCCTTTCTTGTGTCCTGAGTTGTGTAGATCTTGAACTGGCCAGAAGAGACTCTATGGGCCCAGGGCTTTTGGGGATGCTCTATTCTGGAGTGTAACAAAGTACAGTACCATCATACGATGTGAGCTTTTGAGCTTTGTTGAGCTTCTGTGATAATGCCTTGCCAAGATAATTATCCATGAATGACTAGCCAATGAACAAGCAGTAATTAAGCTCCTGCTGTGTATGAAGCACTGCCTGGCCCCCTGGGAGTACTCATTGTAGGCCACCGAAGACATGCTGACTCCATGGACCATGTGCAGGAGAGCATGACAGCAAAAGCACAACGTTAAAGGACATAAATAGGCTGCAAGGTGCACGGAACACAAATGTACACTAGAGCATCATGAATATAAATCAAGGGTAGTGCAACTTACAGGCAAGGGGAGAGGGCTGAGGCCACAATTTGCGGGAAAGAAGAAATACTAAGGCTATTCTGGATGCAGACGTGACAATAAGGAGGGAAGTTCTTCTGGGTAAATATGGGAAGCTTATATGGAAGAGGCATTTTAATCACTTAAAAAAATATATCAATGGAGAGGTCAGCATGGTGGTGTAGTGGTTAAGTTCAGGCACTCCACTTCAGCGGCCTGGGGTTTGCGGGTTCAGATCCCGGGCACGGACCTACACACTGCTCATCCAGCCACGCTGTGGTGGCATCCCATATACAAAAAAGAGGAGGATGGGCACAGATTTTAGCTCAGGGCTAGTCTTCCTCAGCAAAAAGAGCAGGATTGGCAACAGATGTTAGCTCAGAGCCAATCTTCCTCACCAAAAAAAAAAAAAAGCAAAGAAAAAAATGTTAATGGAGTAATACACACAGACACACACACACACAGACACACACACACACACACGGTTAAAAAAAATTTGGCAGTACAAAAAAGTATATGAAAAAAAAAACAACCCAGTTCCCTCCCCAGAGGCAGCCACTGATAAGTTTTGTGTATTTTTGAGACAGGATAGGGATGGGACTCTGCCCTTCACTCTTAGCCACCAGATCCAGCACCTCCCAGCCCAGCTATTTTCAAAGTCAAGATAAGCAACCTTCTGGGATGGCCCAGTGGCATAGTGTTTAAGTTGACGCGCTCTGCTTCGGCAACCCAGGGTTTGTGGGTTTGGATCCCAGGCGTGGACCTACACACCACTCATTAAGCCATGTTGTGGTGGCATCCCATATACAAAATAGAGGAATATTGGCACAGATGTTAGCTCAGGGACAATCTTTCTCAAGCAAAAAGAAGAAGATTAGCAACAGATGTTAGCTCAGGGCTGATCTTCCTCACCAAAAAAAAAAGAGAGAGAGAGAGATAAGCAAACTTCCAACCACAAAACTGCCCCCAAGCAGTCCACCGACTCCCACATGCACACAAAGCCCCGAGATGACCACTATACGACCTTCCTAGAGTGGTGGTAATGAGCAACACTGCCATGTTGGACCAACTGGGCAGGAGCAGGGACCACAACCCTGATGGGGCGTGCAAAGACACCACCAGGAAGAGGGAAGCAGAATGCCTCTGGAGGCCGAGAATCATGACACCATTCCACTCCCCTTACCCCATAAAAGACTCAGGACGGCTCCCTTCGGAGATCCAGCCAGAGAGCCACTTCTCCTGTGCAGTCTCCCTTGTGCTGGAGCATGAGCCCCAGTAAAACCTTATCTGAGACTTTGGTTGGGCCTCTTGTCAATTCCTGTTACAAAGAGAGCCTAAGAACCCAGGGTCGGTATCATTTCCTTTCAGAACTTTTCTGTACCTATATAAGCATATAGATAGATATACATTTCATTTTTATCCAGCTGGTAGCATATGATACACACTGTCCTGGACTTTGTTTTTTCCACTGAACAATGTATCTTAGAGCTCATTTCATATAAGCACATATTAGTCTTTACGTTCCTTTCTTTACAAAAGTGTCAGGGTTTGTCATTGCATGGGCACACTATCATATACTTAACCAGATTCCTACTAAATGGGCAGTTAGGTTTTTTCTAGTCTTTTATTTTAAAAAATACTACAGTGGATGTGATGTTACATAGATCATAGGACCAGGAACAGAATTTGCCACCCCAAAATATGCCTCTTTGGCATAAGAATTATTTTAGGCTGATTATTTTTAAGAAACAGCAGATGCCAGGGAAAGCTCCGAAAACCTTGTAGAAGTTACGGATTTGTAAGGGAAATTTACATTTACAAGAGAAATCTCCATTTGTAAGGGTGCCTCCCTCTCTGTGCCAGGAAGGAGAAGACTACTAAATCTCTAGAAACTCTTATCAACAGAGAAGGCAATGACTTAAATCTACATCACAACTTTACCCTTGTTTACTGTGCTGACCTCATCCTAACAACAGAATGTTAAAGCTACTTTTCAGAGGCGGCCAGAGCCAGCCAGGAGAATGCACAGAGGGAAAATTGTGATGTGCCAATCGACGCTCATCCTGCCAGCACTTCCGCATACCAGCCTGCCCTCCCTGATACCTTAAACCCTACCCCATACTCCGGATCTGGGAGACAGATTTGAGAGCCAGTCCTCTTGTCTCCTTGCTAATTGACTGGGTAATAAACTTTCTTCCGTCAAAGACTGGTGAACACAGTATTGGCTTCTATGCACAAAGGTGGAGAGAGACCTTGCTGGGCAACAGATCTTTGTGTCCACGAATGAGATCTGCTGGATTCATTTTAGCAACTGTTTAGAAGATGGTGTGAATGTCCAGGCCCCCTTCAACCACGTTTGACCAGCCTTGGCAGAGTTTTGAGATGATGCATCTGAGCTGACAGGGGGAAACAGTACGAGCATACAAGGAGACAGATGGAGGAAGGACACCGTGAAGCCCAGAGGCTCCAAAAAGGAGCCTGTGTCTGATCTATTAATGGGCTTGGGAAGTCACAGGGGGTGAGAGGAAAGGGAGGGTCAAATGTAGGCATCTCTGAGACACTGAAGGAAATTCTGAAGTGCTTCTCGCTGCAGGAGCCCCAGGCCCCACAAGGTCCAGCTACCTCTCCAACCCCAGGAAGAGAGGCAACAGCTGCTTTTCTTCTCAGGTGAAATTTTCATAGGTAGGGCTTTCAGGAGGGTCAAAATCATTCTGTTGTGGTAGTGGCACCACCTGTGAGCCAAAAGACACATAAAAATATGGTTAATAAAGCCTGGACGGCTCTGGTTTCCTCAGCCCTGTGCTGGTGAGAGAGAGGAAAGTGAGGCCAGGCTATGATTGGTCCATCCTATAGAGGTAGGGTCATACGGCCTGGCCTAGGGATGGAGCAATCAACCAAGCTGATGACAAGCGTTTATGGAGAATCTCCTAATGGTAAGGGCCATGGGCTAGGCTCTCTGTAAGAGAGACATAAGATAGTTTAGTGCAGCAAATTGAGGGGATTAAAAAACGACAATAAAAGCCTTTGCTCTCAAGAAGCTACTGTCTAATGATCCCAGTCTCTGCCCTGGCTGGAGAAACAAGACAAACATTTATGTAAAGATAATGCAGTTGGTAGAGGTTACATTCCAAAGTAACGGTCCAGACCATTAGACCTTCATGTTCCAAGGGTTTTGAATGTCCTTTGTCTGAGAGTGTTCAGGGAAGTCACTAAAGAACAGATGAAACCTGAGCTGATGCAGAAAGGAGGGGACGTCAGGTACTGGCAATAGCTTAGGAATTGCATAAACGTTCTTTGAGATATCATGCAGAGACATGTCAGAAAATAATAACTAACATAGGTTTGAGAATTTCCCGACCAAGGGGACAATAATGGCCTTAGGAGACCCAGAACCAGGATTCCTGGTCCTGAAAATTCTGAAGGCAAGGGATAAATTCTGTCAAGAGCTTGGCTAAGGAAATGCATTGATTTCCACTTACACTGTGAGTGAGGGTGGTTTTAGGGGTCTGAAGGCCCTGGGATGATGTGAGAGCCGTGCAGGACCGTCCAGACAAGTGGTGACTCATGGCCATTCTGAAACTCAGAGCAGGCACTGATGTCCATGACTTTAAGATTGACCAGTGTTGACCCAAACCCAAAGGGCCAGGTCAGAGTGGAAAGCAGCTTTGGAAATGCGATGAAAGTACAGACTTAGCCTCAAGGCCAAAGGTGAAGTCCCTAGCTGGCTAAGCATTAGGTCATGCTCTGGAAATCAGGGCATGAGGCACATGATGGTTGAACTGAACTGCATATTTGTACAAGTGTTTGCTGAACAAATTCTATCCAGCTTTTAAGGTCCAAACCAAACTGTTTTTTCATGATGCCTTTCTTGTCTACCTCACTGCAGTGATATCTCCTACTTGAATGTCTGAAAAACCCTTGGGAACTGCATACATAACAAGGAGTCATGTAGTGTATTTTCTCTCCCCTTCCAGGTGACTGAATCAGCTCCACCCCTCCTCTACCAAAAGATAGATAAGATAACAAGTCTTCAAGGTCAAGGATGGTATCTTAAATGTATCCAAATCCCCATAGCACTCAGCCCAGTTCTGGGCAAACAAAAGGTGTTCAATAAATATCTATTGATTGATTCATCAATCACAGAGAAGTAGCATAACTGAAAAACTTGGAGAGTTTTTTCTTTTTTTAAATCTTATTTGAACATATTACAGGGAGGGAGTTCTGGAGGAGATTTGATAACAAGACTATGAATGGATCTAATGTTTTCAGGAGAGTGAAAGTGGAGTGGACAGCCAGATACAGATCTGGGCTAATTTTTTAAGATTTTTAAGGATTTTAAAACTCCTTGCGATTTTTTTTTTTTTTCCCCTGAGGAAGACCAGCCCTGAGCTAACATCTGATTCCACTCTTCCTCTTTTTTGCTGAGGAAGATTGGCCCTGGGATAACGTCCGTGTCCATCTTCCCCTATTTTATATGGGACGCTGCCACAGCATGGCTTGACAAGTGGTGTGTCAGTGCGTGCCTGGGATCTGAACCTGCGAACCCTGGGCCACCGAAGTGAAGCGCACTTACTTAACCACTACGTCACCAGGCCGGCCCCTCCTTGCGATTTTTAATACTGAAACTTCAACTACTATTATGTGAACTTAGGCAAAATTAGCTTCCTGAATCTCAGCTTCTTTATTTATTTATTTATTTATTTTGTGAGGAAGATCAGCCCTGAGCTAACATCCATGCTAATCTTCCTCTTTTTGCTGAGGAAGACCGGCTCTGAGCTAACATCTATTGCCAATCCTCCTCCTTTTTTTTTTCCTTCCCCCAAAGCCCCAATAGATAGTTGCATGTCATAGTTGCACATCCTTCTAGTTGCTGTATGTGGGACGCGGCCTCAGCATGGCTGGACAAGCGGTGCGGCGGTGCACACCCTGATCCGAACCTGGGCCGCCAGTAGCGGAGCGCACGCACTTAACTGCTAAGCCACGGGGCCGGCCCAATCTCAGCTTCTTTAGCTATAAAATGTGGATGGCAACACATTTGTAGTGTTATAATGATCAGATAAGAATGTTTGTCAATGTTTTTGTAAACTGTAAAACTTTACATGAAAGTTACTATTATTATTACTATTATTATTATTTAATGGGAAATTCTACCCTTAAGCGCTCTTTTAACACTATAAAGAAACCAATATGCTATAGTTAAAAGCACATTTTCTAAAAAATCTTGACATTAGACTGTTGGCTAATTTCCAGTTGTTTTGAGAAGTCGCCATTTTGGTGGATTAGGATTAGAATTTGAGATAGATTTAGAAATATACATAGACTATATAGTGTTTTGGTTCACAGTCTCTCATTCTGGTCAGTGTGAAGATTAATCAATATAAGATATTATTAAATCAATTAGAAATGTTCAACCTTTGGCCACACAGATGTAAATCAAGAATGTTTGTTTAAGTATCCTTGTTGACCATGGAGTGTGGCAGGATGGTGCATAGTGGGTAGAACTTAAGCTCCTCTGCCACGGGAGTTTAGGGCTTTCAGTTAAAATGGTCTGGGCCTCACTTTATGGGCCTTAGGATAAAGGGAAAATTGTTCTTACCGTCTGAGATTTCTGAACAGAGCTGTAGATTGTGGCTGAACTCTCTTTCTTCTGAGGAAGTGGAGTCTTTCCCTGTAACAGACCAATATCAGACTATCCGTGGTCACTAAATGAGAGCTTTCCAGAGTTTTACCCTCAATCCTTGAGGAGAGAGGAATCCACCAGGTTCTGGTTTCATGTAGAGGGTGGAAGCTGCCTTAGTGCAGTGGGGACAGTGCCTCTGGTTCCCCGACACCTCCCTTATTTATGGCCCAAGAATGGGAACTAAGGAGTGTGTTCCTTCATTCCAAGGGACCACAAGGTTTGGTAAACACAGAGTCAGGATTCTCTGCCCGTGTGCTGCTGGTCCTGTCCCCCAGGCCCTGGTCCCCAGTTTGGAGGGACTAGTCATCGAGGATATTGGGTGGTCCTAGAAGTGGGAGAGAGAGGGAAGGTGTGCTGATCAAAAAAGCTCACCTGCAAGTCGAGGAACACTTGCATATACACTGTGTCCCCTTCGACCACAGGTACAGGTACCCTGTCATCTGGAGTGACAAGGTCATACTCTGCTTGCTCCTCAGAGGTTGAGTCATGTCCAGTGTCCTCCTGAGTGACCAAGTCATACACCTGATCTCTTTTATTGACATGCTGGTACATATCAGTTGTCTCCTCATCCTCCACAGTTGTTCCATCGCTGTCAGAGCTGCTGTCAGAAGTGGGCTTAGGCTGTTGCCTGACAGTCTTAGGGGGAGTTTCCATCTTCTCATAGCCTTGGGACAGCATGCAATACAGTGAGTGGCCAGCAGCAGTTTCTGGAACAAAGTGTGCATGATTAGTAAAAAGTGTGCCAGCCCTCACCTCTCTCTTGCCTTGTGCAGGAATCTAAGCTGCCCTGACTCCTACCCCAGACAATACCTAGAGAAAGGTTGTCTCCCCTCGGGGGGCTCTATTCCACTCTCCCTTCCTCCTTCCTTTCAAGCATTCACTCATTCATTCATGTGATAAACATTTATCAAGTATGACATGAAATGGACTCAGTGAACAGAAGTGGCCTCACTGGATAAACGATCCTAAGTGCCATGATGGGTACTCTGGGGAAACACAGGGTAAATTAGACCTGGTCTTGAAGAAGAACACTGTCTAGCTCAGGGTCAGATCCATACATAAATCAACTAATGTAAGGCTGGCTCCTACAAGTGACATATGAAAAGCACGAGGAAAGGGCAGAGGTGAAAGGAGATGGTCTCTGGCTGGGAAGCAAGAGAAGAACACGTGAAGATGATGGGATTGAGATGGGCCTTGATGTAGGGGCAGGATTTTGATGAGTGATGGGGTATTCTTGGTGGAGCGAGCAGCATGATTAAAGACAAGTGTGAATCGTGACGTACCCTCTCTTTTCGGAAAGGATGATATTCCAAACATTTAACCACAATGGCCGGGGCATAGGACAACCAGAATGGTGCCTGCTATGAATGGCGATTGGGATTTGGAAGCAGATTTAATTTTAATTGTATACCAAGTGATTATATGACGTTTCAATTTAAAAAAACCTATTCAATAAAACAAAAAATTGGTGACAGCATGTACTTAGGCAGTGGCAAAGATCTAGAGAAGAGGAGATTTAGGAGAGAGAATGGAGAGATTGAAGAAGTAGGCCTTGGCAGCTGAGAAGAAGTGCTGGAGGAGGGAGGCGGGATAGGGATGACAGTGGTGTCCCCAACACTACTTTACTCCCCTTCCTGTGCCCTGGGGGCCAAGGAAGGAGGGAACAAGCTGGGGGAGATCAGAGTCTGTCCTGCCAACCATGAGGAGGGAGCTGGTGGGAAGTTCCATATCCAGCCTCATTCCCATTTCTAGGCCTTTCTCTGGGTTACACTTCCCATCAGAAAAACCTGCACTGTTGGGTTACTTGAGCCCCTGGCCCCCTCCTAGCCCGTCTTCCTATTCTATCACCTTGGGGAATCCCCTCCATGAGAGGTGGCATAGGGATTTTTAAAGCAGAGTCAGTCTGAGTGGGCAGAGTTTGGGGATTCCTTAGAACTCCAGAGCTCCAGGGTTCCAGGTGGTGATTTAGGACACTGAGGGATGGGAGTAAGATGCAGGAATCTCAGCTCTCCACCCCAACATCCCTCACAACAGTCCCACTTTTACATGCTTTGTGCTATTGGGGTGTTGCATAATATTTTGTTTGAAGAAAGTATTCCTTAGTTTTTTCAAAAATTGGAAAACCACAGCCTCAGTGACGCTCTTGGTGTCTAAACAGTCTCGTGGGTTTTAGTTTTAATTAAGTTCTAGTTTTCCTCCTGCAACAGATTTGCCATTCCATCTGGCTTTTGTTTATCCATTCTCAGAGTGGAGAACCAGCCTCATCATAGGCCACATTCAAGTGATGACGGTCAATGCCTGAGGAAGCCTAGAGACCCCAGAGGACAGGCTGCGTCTCCTAGCTCTGGTTACCATCTTTCAGGAATCTGTCTTGGTTGTGAATTTGTTCCCTAAACCACCTTCCTTTAGCGCATTGCTTCTCAAACTTTAAGAAGCATATGATTCTCCTGTGGATCTTGTTAAAACTCAGATTCAGATTCGATATTCTGGGGTGGTGGCCAAGATTTGCATTTCTAACAAGCGCCTGGGTGATGATGCTCATGTTGCTGGTTGGCAGACCACACTGAGTAAGTAGCTAGGCTTTGGTGCTTCCATCTGGCCCAGGGACCCCATAGCCTATGTCACTGGTGATAGTACCTGATGTGTCAGCTGAGGCCTCAACTTGGCTGGAACTGATAGCTCGGGCTGAACCTGAAAAACCAAGAGAGAAGGTTTATCAGTAGGGCTGTGAGGAGAGAGGTGTCTCTGATTCTGTGAGAATCAAAGGACAGGAGGAGAGATTTCGGGGTCTTAGACAGGGAAAGGCTTTAAGGAGGAGGGTGAACCCCTATGTGAGTACAAGCCCATGGGAAGGGTGACCAGAGTCTAGGGTCATCTTCAGCTGAGGAGAAGGCTCTGGATCTGCCTGCCATCCCTCTGGAAGAAAGAGCTCTAATCTATCTGTGGTAGCCGTTAATCAGAGTGGTTTGCCAACTCACAGTGATTCTTCCAGAGGGTCATATGTGTTCTAAGCAATCTGTTCTTTCTGGGAAATACTCCATTCTCACTCCAATATCGAGACTCCAGAGGGAGGTGCCAATAGTAATAGCTCATCCCCTTGGCCATAGTGATTGGGCCAAGCAATGGTCACATGATCCAAAGCTGGGCCAATGAGATATTTCTGAGATTTTTCAAAGTGGAATTGGAGGGAAACATCTTTTTTCCCTTCCTGGTGTCAGAGCTACAAGTATCTGTGAATCTGGAGCTACCAGTTGCTGTGTTGTAGTACACATGCCACCCCCCACCCCTGCCCCTCAGCTGGCTACAGTAGGAGAGAATTAAGCTGGCTCGAAGGGAGAAGTAGGGATGAGAGATGGAGAGCTCTGGTGGCTTTTGGGTCTCTGGTGACATTTGTCCCTAAGTCCAGCTCCTTTCCTGCCTTCCCCACAGATTGAATGTGTGAGTCCCAAAATAATAAATCATGCCCCCTGCACCCTGCCTTTTGTCTAAGCTAATTTGAGTTGGGTTTCAATTATTTGTAACTAAGAGTCCCAACTAACACCCTTCTCCCCAACACTCTGAAAAGAAATGAGGTTTTGGGAAAGAAGGGATAGGAGGGGATTATGAGAGGACAGAGAAGCCTCCAAAGGTCCCAGAGAAATGGTTTAGTGCTGGCAGAGGCCATTAGTCTCGGAAGCCCACATGATCCTTTTTGCTTCCAAATGCAGCAGCCGGAGATCCCAAAGCACAAAAGGATGGAAACTATCAGGGAGAGTCCAATCCAAAGCTTCCTGCTTATCCCAAGTCCTGTGAAGAGGAAATGAGTGATATTACTATAAATAATGATAAGAGAGATTGGAGCAAACAGTGGACAAAGTATAATGGCCATCCTATCTGCCTCTTAAAATCCCATGCTATTGCAGAAAATATTCCTTTCCGTTCGTTCATTCTACCACTATTTATTGAGCAGGCATTGTTCTAGGCAAGAAGTGATAGCAGTCCATAAGGCAGACTCTGTCCCTCGGTAGAGAGGTTTATGACTTGTCCAGTGTCACAGAGTTTTAAGTAGCTGAGCTGGGATTTGAAGGAAGGCTGCCTGATCCTAAAACACTCTTATCCATCACACTACACTGCTCCTCTCTGTAAACAGTATAAGGGGAGTTCTAGGCTAGAGACAGAAAAAGTCCAGATTCCCACTTAACAGGCCTCTAAATCCATCTGCCAGCCACAGCCTGATTCAGCATTATCACTTCCTGGGTAGATGTTCCTTTTTTTCTACTTCCCTCTAGGGAAGAGCAAAGCACAGAACTCAGAGTTCCAACTCTGCTTTTGCTGTATGACCTTGGACAAGTCTCTTATCCTTTCTGAGTCTCAGTTTCCTTACATAATAGGGAACAATAAAAATATCTGCTGCATAGGACTATTGTGAAGATTGATTGTGCTAAAATGCATGAGGACCTAGAATAGTGCCTGGAATCTAGTAAGACCCACTAGGGCTTCCTTTCTAGCTCCCACTCACACAGCCCTTGTTCCTTTGTGGTCCGCATCCCTTCCCACGTCAACTTTCCATCAAATCTTCTCCACAGACTTCTAACGCTGTGCTGTCCAATATGGTAGCCACCAGCCATGGCATGAGCGCTTGAAATGTGGCCAATATGACTGAAGGACTGAATTGTTTATTTTATTTAATTTTTAAAAATTTAAATTTACATTTAAAAAAGATGACTCAATTCCTTATTGAAAAACTGAGAAGTACGTTTGGAACAACTTGGATATGTAAATCTATTTTTTCAACTGTAAATTTTATGAAATCTGAATACAGATCAAGTACTTCCATGAAAATTGAGCATCTGAATTGAGATGTGTTGTTAGTGTAAAATACATACTGAATTTCAGAGACATAGTATAAATGAAATGTAAATTATGTCATGAATAATTGTTCATATTGAATATTTGTTGAAATGAAATTTGGATATATTGGGTTAAATGACATATGTTTTTAAAATTAATTTTATCTGTTTCTTTTTGCTTTTTCTAATGTGGGTATTAGAGAATTTAAATGACCTATATGATCCCATTATATTTCTATTGGAATGTGCTTCTCTAAAGGACTCTTGCGCACACTTTTTCACTGCACTTCACAAAGAATCACTCAGAATGCAAACTCTTGGATCCGAAGATCCAAGGCCCTGAGGTCTGGCTGAGTAGAGATGGAGAGTAACCTGGACAGATGTCCCCAGAAAGAAAGTGCCTGGAGCTGTTGCTGACAGGATTGCTGGCTGTGCACGTGAAGTTGGGATGATTTTCACCCCTTCTCAAGGAGACTTGGAGGTGAGATCCCTCTTGGGATACAACAGCTTCTTTCTGCAGGGGGGTCCATCTGTAGGTCACGTTGTGTCCACCATCCTCCACTGAGCACGTCAGGCTGACCCTGCAGATGCCATCCCCCGTGAACTCGAGGCTCCACGTGACTTTGGGCTTCTTCAGTCTTCCTGCGTGAGGAGAAAGGCAGACCTGATGTGGAGTTAGGCCTGCCCACTGGGCACCGCCACATGTTCACTCATTCAAAATATATTTGTGAAGTTGCATGTTGACACTGTGTTAGGGCTGAGAAAGTGCCTCCAAGAGTTGCAGGCATTTTGGAGTACACCAGGCCTTTCCCTGGGGAACTATGAAATCTCAGACATATCACTTCACTTCTTTGGGCCTTGGATGCTCAGATGTGAAATAAAAGAGTTCATGAAAAGTGAAAAAAGAAAGACACCACGTCATTCCATACAGCATACTGTGAAGAACAAGCAAACCAAGCGACACAAATAAGCACAGCACTTGCATGGGCTCTGAAGGCCCTTCAAGGCTTACATTTTGAGGTTTCATCATCTAATTTGCTTATTTACATGAGATAAGGAATGTAGAGAGGTGAGCACAGCACTGACACAGAATAAGTGCTCAATAAACATTAGCACTTTTACAAGAAATATAAGACCGGCACCTTTTGCTCCCAATTTATTATTATTTTTACTTAATCTTCTTGCTAGTTCTTTTACATTTGAGTCACAGTGTGCAACAGATGTAGACTAGCTGACTCACTGTGTATTTTAACAGGATCGCGGACAGTGAGTTTTTTCACAGGTACTTAGACACCAACAAGCCCAGGCAGGGGATGTGCAGACCATGTCTGAATGGTACCAGTAAAGGAGCTGGCAAATGGAAACCATGCAAACTGTTCTGTCAAGCTCCTTTGAGGCCCAGAGCTGAGGAATAAGACTGCAAGTTCTGTCCCCCACACTCAGGGGGGCCGAGCAGCCAACCCTCTTGGACGTCACAGGGTCTTTGGACACTAAAGGCTTTCTCCTCAGTCTTCTCTGATTCCACCCCAGCCAGCTCTGCCCTTATTCAAAATGATAATGTTCTACAAAGATGCAGGTTGAGAGTTCCTGGTCCCTCCCGCCCAATAATCAATGCAGGAGGATGGGGCAAGTACCGACAGTTGGGTGGTTGAGGCCTAACTGGAAGCCTGGAGGAAGCGGAACCTTGGCAGGTAGATTTTGCCCAGCCGCTGATTGTAATTTTTCCTCCTGTGAATTGACTGGTATGAACTCAGTCCTGAGTCTGAGGCATTTTGCTAGGAGGAGAGGCCTGAGGGAGGAGGGAAGTGGGGAAGGCAGCAAAGAGGAGAAACCTTTCAGGGAGGGAATCTAATAATGGGCGCTCTGCTCAGAAACTCACGGTAGATGAGCAGAGTGACGTGTTTCATGCTGGTGACTCCAGAGGTCTTTGAACATATGTAAGCATGGTAGGGGCCAGCATCCTCCATCTTCAGCCAGCCAATCTTCAGGGAGTAGTCCTGGCTGGAGACCCACATCGTGTTCTTGTCTGGGTCCTCAAACTTAGTGGGTGGATCTGCTTTTGCTGCTTCTCCCCGCTCTTTGCTGATAATAGACGTGTTAAACATCCAGACAACGTTCTCTATGTCCTGACTGGCCGGGAGTGCCAGGGGCAGGGTGACTGACTCCCCCAGGACCCCCACCACCGTCTCCCCCATTGATCCTCCTCTGGAGGCTCCTGGATCTGCAGTCAGAGATGAGACATTGCCGCTTCAGTCACTGGCCCCACTCCCTTGACCCTCAGCCTGCCTGAAGGGGAGTAGAGCCCCATAGGCCCTCCTGCCCAGGCCCATTCCCCCTTCCTCTGATGAAGCATCCCTGCTGCTTCTCCATGACCACTTGTCATGCACAGGTATGCACCTGGCTCTGCCTATTGCATACCCAGGCCTCTCTTGCTCTCTCCGCCCTTCTCAGGAGACCCCAGGGGACAATCCCATCCATGCAAAGAGCAATCTGGATCTCTTCATCCATCCTCTCTTACCCTCCCTTGCTCTACCCTCAGTTACACAGTGCCCTGGGAGTTCCCAAGTCCCCTGCCAGTCTCTCTCAGGCCCCTGAGGGTAGAAAACAAGGGGTCTTCAGGCCTGTTCTCTTGCCTTCCCACCTCATCTGTGTCCTGCCAGAACCCTGGGGTTTAGATTCTATAGCTGCTCAGACTGTTTCTGGAATCCTCTGGAGGGCCTAAGTGGAGCCAGTTACCTCTACAGAACTGCCAGGCGTGGACAGGGTGGGAGCTGCTCTGGCTGACTGGGTTCTTGGCTGTACAGGTGTACTGCAGGTCTGGGTCACAGGGCGTCCAGGAGATGGTGAGAGTGGAGCCCCCATAAGATTCAGAAGCATCAGGGTCCCTCGGGGTCCAGCTGTACTGAACGTCTTTCTCTGTCCCCTCCACAGAGCATATCAGAGTGACGTTACAGGAGGTGTTCTCAGATGCGTTCACGGACATCATGGTGACTCGGGGCTCCCGCAGCTGCTCTACAGGGACAGTGGCAATGGGGAGACTACTCAGATCCCTTCCCTTGCAGGAAAGGGCTGAGAGAAGAAGGTGGTGTGGTAGAGGAGCTGGGAGCAGAAGGGAGAGGCTTTCTGTTACTGGTGTTCTTATAAAAAGAGGAGATTAAGACACAGACAACAGAAACAGAAAAGTGACCACATGAGGACATAGCACAAAGTGGCCATCTGCAAGCCAAGGTGCGAGGCCTCAGAAGAAGTCAAACCTGCTGACATCTTGATCTTGGACTTCTAGCCTCTAGAACTGTGAGCAAATAAATTTCTATTGTTTAAGCCCCCCAGTCTGTGGTATTTTGTTATGACAGCCCTAGCACACTAATACAGATGGGTAAAGGATATTAATAGAGTTGCAGAAAAGAATACAAACGGCTCTTAAACACATTTTGGCTGTGTATTCCACTCTTGACATCTGATTTATGGAATTGGGTGACAAAGACCAATGTGGAGTCCTACTTGGCCTAGAGATAAATTCCTGGAGAGAGAAAAAATCTGCTTTTAAAAATAAAAGATCAAAACTTACAGAAGTGCTATGGAACTCACCATAGATGTGCAGGGTGAATTGCTCACCAACGGTGACTCTAGAATTCTTTTGGTTTATCTGGGCGTTGTAGGGTCCTGCATCTTTCAGAGTCAGGTTGTTGAGAGATAAGGAGTAGTTCCGGTTGATGTTTAATCGGCCCTGGTAGCTTCTGTCCATAAAAATAACGTTTCCATCTGAGTCGGCTAAAGCAAGAGCGTTTTGGGGACCATTCCAGGTGACATGCTCAATCTCTGTGTCTACTGAAATGTTGAGGGGGAAAGTCGCCACACCCCCTAGAATTGCTGCCACCACTGTTGGTGCTGAGTCGTTTCCAGAGGTTCCTAGTCCTGCAGAAACAGAAGAGGGACTTGTAAGGGCAGCTGGACTCCTTAAGTCAGGCTTCATTCATTCATTCGTTCATTCATTTATTCATTCAATAAACACATATTGGGAATAAATGTCAGATGCTGAGAAATGAAATGAGATTCATGTCTTCCTCTCTTAGGGCCATTGCCTAGCCAAGTCATTCATTCATTCATTCCCTCATTCACATATCAAACACTCTCTACCACAAATGTAGCTACAATAATCGGTAAAACAGACCTTTTAGGTTTCTATTCCAACAGGGAAATTAGCCTTGTGACTTTAGGTGAATTTCTCTGAGAATCAGTTTACTGGTCTATAAGATGGAAATGTTCACACCTGTACCATCTTCCTCAGGGAATATGGTAAAGATTAAATAAAAACAGGTTGCTGTATATCATAAAGAAGTAATGAAGTAAAAAAGGAGCAACTTTTTAAAAAATAAGATGGGTTGATGGATGGCTAGAGGGTGGATAGATGGATAGATATGTGATGAAGCAAGTAAAGCAAAACACAAATGGTAGGACTGATGTGGGAGGTATATGAGCGTTCACTGCAAAATTCTACCAAGTTTTCTGTATGTTTGAGAATTTTCGTAAAAAAATGATGGGAACAAAAGGAGCATCTCTTACCTCTATCTCACCCTACATTTTCCTCACTGTCCAGGGGATCTCAGACTGACCTCGGCTTGGCCAGGGAAATCCGGTCTGTCCTTAGGAACGAGGTTTGGGTTGGGAATGGTAGGTAGCATTGATTCAGCTCCTGATTTCCTGATCTCAGGAAAGACCCAGATCCCTGATAATCATTGTTACCAAGGCTTCCAGGGGCCCTGCATTCTGCCAAGGCAACTAATTTCCCTGTAGGGGCTCCGTGAGTGTCTGCTGGGTGACCCCAGCCTGGAGTCCCAGATTCCAGAGCTTCTGAGGCTCTGGAGAGTACTCTGGAAATTCTAGACCAAATCAGATAGGTTCAGGACCCAGACTACTCCAGGAATTCCAGGTAGAAAAATAAGTAGAAAATGTTAGAGAGAGAGGAGAGGCCAAGTATACCGTAGAGGAATGGAAAAAGGCTGAGACATGCTCTGAAAGCCCAGACGTTACAGAATATGCAGACACAGAGAGGAGACACCCCTACTGGTGCAGGCCAGGGGGTTCTCTGCCCCGACCCACAGCAGTCGAGCACTTGGACCTTGCAGAGAGGCTGCTAGGGAGGATGCAGGGCTGGGGACTCTGGATGTGAGAAGGTCAGTTCAGGTGGACTCTGGGGGCAGATTCAGAAGACAGAAGCTGAGTTGGTGCAATGTTGGTTTGAGGCTGCCTAAAAGAGAGCTCTTCACATCTGGAAGACATCACTTATAATTGCAATGTGTGTATCAGGTACTTTGTAAAAATCACCTCATTCGGTCCTCAAAATTATCCAATAATTAACCCCATTTTACAGGTGAGGAGCAAAAATTTAGAGAGTTTTGGCCACCTGCCCAGATTACAGGGTTGGTCAGTTTCAGAGTCCAGATTACATGTACATGATGCCTGGAATGTGAGGCCAGGAGTGCTCACTATCCCCATCCTGGAAGCCCAGGAGGTGCTGAGTCTTGGCTGGGTGCATATGACCATGTTTTGACCTCAGCTTTCCTCACATCAAAGGTAAACAAAGCCTCATAGACTGTCAGTGGGGGAGCAGGATGTGGTCCCTACAAGTCAGATCCTATTGCAGCAAACAGTGCTACGTATCTCCTAGCATAGTGACAGGAGTTCCAGGAATCAGTCATCTTATTCTGAACTATGCCTTTTGATAAATAATAAAAAGGAGTTCAAAGATTGTGGTAACTGAATTTGACTTGCCTATCCTTTACTAGTTTCCGAATAACGTACTTAACAGTGATTATTATAATAACAGTCATAGCTTCCACCAACTGTGTGCCAAGCACATACACCATCTCTAATCTATGAAAGAATCTTGCATGATACATCTTACTAATTGCATTCTACACTTAAGAAATAGATGTTCACACAGCTAGTGAATGATGGAGTAGGATTTAATGTCAAATGTTCCTGTTACTAAAGCAGGGGGACTTTTTACCCTACTGCCTCCTAAGTTCCTTAAACAACTCCTTGGAGACACAAAAGCATCAAGGAAACTCCCTTCTAGACCGAAACAGTGAAGTTTGAGGTCACCTCAATCGATGGAGCCGGACAGAGGGAGATGCCCCTTTGCCCTGAACTGTTTCAAATTCACTCCATTGATCATCTGAGCTTGGATAACACTGGATGTAGCTAATTTCAGGTTTATCCAACACAACCAAAAGGCACCCTAAGAGTTGAATATAAATAGCCCTGCTGCTCCCTGTGTTTTTATGGTGAGCAAAGATGAAATTGAAAGTGAAGAGAGGTCAAACTGGAACTCAGCCCTGAGGACAAGGCTCCTCCTACCCCCATACATGCATCCAGGAGTTTTTCTAGAGCTCACCTCACTGCCCATCCCCCACCCCCACCCCCACTGCTCTCAGGTCCCTAGTGCTACCTGCACCATCCCTCCCATGGGGAGGTAGGATGTTGGGGAAAAAAGGATATTCTTCCCCAAGGAGGGCCTGGGGAAAGCAAGATCCCAGAGAGACAATAGCTGCTACAGTCCCAGGTTGCTGAGATCCTCCCTGGGGTACTGGGTCAGGTGTGCCTGCTGGACAGAGGGGCCCAGGCCCAGCTGCCAAGAGATGTTTCCCAGAAACTAGCAAGACTCAGGCCTTGATGGGGAGGTAGGATGTTAGGTAGAAAAGGATATTCAGATAGAAGCCACCTAATCTGGGGCCACCAGACCATCTCCAGACACCCACTGAAGCCTCCGTAGTCCAGAATATGTCATAAACATGACAGGATGTAGAAAGAAGTTCCAGTAGTTTTATCACTCCCTAGGAAATTGCTGGGTGACTTATCATCAGGGGAATTTTCCTGTATCTCTCTGTGGATTGTATCCATATTGTACAGGAAACAAACTCATAACGTGGCATTTCTTAGAAGGAAAATGTGAGGGTGAGAGGAATAAAGTCCAAGCCCAGAGTTATTTGAGACTGGGGCTAGAATGTCACTTGCTCATGGTGTGTGACCGTGCACACGCTCACACACACCTACAGAGCTCAGATTAAGGTGAAACTTGCAGAATATTTACCACAAGAAGAGGAGTTATTGACTTTACTAACAAGAATCCCCAGCACGGAATGTGACCAGCCTCAGAGGAGCACCAGTGAAAGCAGTGGTGATCATAGTGTGGACTTACCCATGAGTAGGAAGAATTGGGTCCATAGAAAGGGAGAGAACACGTGTGGCTGACTCTTCTGTAGCTCGTCGGAGAAAGGCCGTAGAGCCCAGTCATCTGTACGTCTCTTTGGGCCTGCCATGATGATATACTTTCAGATCTCACAGGCTGAAGGAGGAAGTATTTACCACAGCTTCCGCCAGTGTGTGTGCGTGTGCCAGGGAGGGTTGTTTATACTTGGCACCACAGACTCCTTTCACATGCTCAGGCTGTGGTAGAGGTCCCACGTCTTTTCATGTGATTTGCAAAACAATATTGGGCATCAGTTGCTTCAGCATCAAGAGACTTGGGTTCTGAACTTGGCCCTAAAGAGTTCTACTTCCTTGGGCCAGCTGGGTGGTGTAGTGGTTAAGTTCATGTGCTCTGCTTCGGCAGCCTGGGGTTCACAGGTTCGGATCCCGGGCTCAGACCTACTTATCAAGCCATGCTGTGGCAGGCATCCCACATATAAAGCAGAGGAAGATGGGCATGGATGTTAGCCCAGGGCCAATCTTCCACAG